CGACTATAACCAGATAGAGCGTATGCCAATTAGTTGCTTCGTGAGCAACAAGACTCAGTTAAAAAGTACTTCTATGACATTCAATATTTTTGTCATTACAAACTGACCCTTCTAACAATAATAAGAAATATAATATGAATAACGACAAAATTTGAAACTCCCAACTAAATTTGTATCAAATTGCACGTCACTGTAGTTAGTTCATATATATTAGTGTAATTGAATATTATTATATATTCTGTAAGCTTTTCCCAGAGGGAGAGGAAACCCCCCATAGTGTGTCTTCAAGAGTCAGATGTGATATCACAAGAATACACAGCATGACCTGTACAACGTCGGTTTTATATTTAAACATACATTGTTTTATCCCAACCGAAAAATTATATATTGATAATAAATAGTTACAAACTAGGTAATTATATGCAAAAATAAAACTTGAAGCAATACTAGAGACGTGCATCGTAAACTTAAAGGTTATCAAGGCTGCTTTATTTGTTTATGTACAAACATAATTGCGTGATAAAGGTCGTGTTAAAATTGGTCAAAAACCACGAGGTTGCCGACGAAACAAGTGTAATATCTCACTCTTTTATCCAAAAACGAGTACATTTTATTTAAATCTGGCTGTGGTTAATAAGCGTGGGTAACATGTAATAGAACTAGACCACTACGAAATTATGATAAATATTATTTTCGGGTTAAGACACACTGTGATAAAAATAAATATACTTACATGTACTGCCAATAGAGGTCACGTTGAACTAGTTAATTCTTATTATCTGAATAATTCCTAATGAAAGTTATCACATAAACTGGATCACGTATAATTAACGACAAATGTGGACTTTTCAAAAGGCTCAAAATGTTAGTAGTTGTTGTTATTTTAGTTTTTATACTTTAGCGCGAGACTTACAATGTTTTCTAGCTTTATTTGAAATAACAATTTGTCTACAAAGCATGGTTTGTAATTTCTGCCGTCAAGTTATCACCCGTGATCTTTATATATTATTTTCTATACACAACTCTAAAAACATGAGGATTATCAACATTCAAAACCCAGAATACTTTTTAAAGATTCTAATTCAATAAAACTTTTTAAAATGATTTTTAAATTTCAAGTTTTAATTTTTCTTCTTTAATAGTACATAACACAGGCCTGCGAATTTAAACTTCATAAAAGTTGTCTTGGTTTTAATAGCGTATTTTTAACACATCTGGAAGAAAAAAACTCTTACTTAGATCAAATTATTATTTCGTTTACCACAATGAACATTTTTTATTATTATGTTTGTT